ACGTGAAGGGCTACGACTCGAGCAAGTCCTCTACCTCGATGCCAACAACCTGTATGGCTGGGCCATGAGCCAGTATCTACCCACAGGGGGATTCGATTGGGCATCACCCGAGATCGATGTTATGAGCATCACGCCGGATTCGAACAAAGGCTATATCCTCAAAGTGGACTTGGAATACCCCAAGGCATTACACACATCGCACAACAGCTACCCTCTTGCCCCCAACATTTGAGGGTTAACCCAGACTTGATGTCCGAGTACCAACATAACTTGCAGGGTGGGCGGGTGGCAGACGTTGAAAAACTCGTGCCAAACTTAATGAATAAGCCCAAGTACATCGTGCACTATCTCAACCTGCAGCTGTACCTGTCGTTGGGTATGAGGCTGACCACAATACACAGGGTGCTCGTGTTCGACCAGAGGCCCTGGATGGAGCCCTACATCAGAATGAACACGGACCTGCGAAAGCTGGCCACCAGTGACTTCGAGAAAAACCTCTACAAACTCATGAACAACTCTGTGTTCGGTAAGGCTATGGAGAACCTGAGGAAACGCTTGACCGTGAAGCTGGTTCGGTCGAAAGAGGAAAACAAGCTCAGGAAACTGATAGCCAGCCCGGCATTCAACCGGAGCAAGATATTCACCGACGACCTGGTGGCCCTACACATGAAGAAAAACCACATCGAATTCAACCGGCCTGTTTACGTGGGGATGAGCATCCTCGATTTATCCAAACACCTGATGTACGACTTTTACTACAACGAGCTCAAGAAACAGTATGGCGCCAGGTGTGAAGTGCTGTACACGGACACTGATTCCCTGCTGATGGAGATTCGAACCGAGGACGTGTACGATGACATGAAGAAACACCTTGATTTGTACGACACCAGTAGACTACCCCAAGGACCATGCCATACACAGCACAGTAAATAAAAAAGTGCTCGGCAAGATGAAGGATGAGTGTGCCGACACGCCCATAGCTGAGTACATAGGCTTGAGACCCAAGATGTACTCCATCCTGAAGGCCGACAATGGTGAGATTCGAAAGGCGAAGGGTGTTAAGAAGTACGTGGTTGGACAACACATCAAACATGCCAGATTCAAGGAAGCCCTGTTCAAGACCTGCACCTTCAGGCATCAAATGAACACGCTTAGAAGCAACGGGCACAGGATATACGGACTGACGATAAACAAGACGTCCCTATCACCGATGGACACGAAGCGTTGGATAGCCATCGACGGGATCAACACGTACGCGTACGGGAATGAGAAAATTGAACCAAGAACATAGGTGTATATATAAATACGATGTCACGGAACCAAAGAAAGTTTGAGGCTATTTACTACAGCCCGCGTGGGTACTGGAAAGGAGCTAGTGCCGTACATTAGATAGCCGAAATGGCGCAAGTACCCCCAGACGAGGCCAAAGCTTGGCTTGAAAAACAAGCCCTGTGGCAGATCTATTTACCGGCACCATGCTACATGCCTCGAAGAAGGCCCGCAGATTCGAACGCATATACAAACGCAGCCCGCTGACATGGCCCACAGAGCTGCAAGTCGATCCCGGACGGGAGTTCATGGGTGCCATGTCACAACTGCTAGCCAAGCACGGCGTCAAGGTCAGGTGTGGCGCTGCCGGAGCTCATCGCAGTCAAGCCATAGTCGAGAGATTCAATAGGACTTTGGCTGAGCGCTTATTCGGGCATCAGTATGCGAGAGAGATGGCCAACCTGGGAAAACGATCGACGGAATGGGTAGCGTGGCTACCTCAGGTGGTGTCAGCTATCAACCACGAAACCACCTGTCTCACCGGCAAGATACCAGCCGACGCTATCAAACTGAAATCTGTGGTGGCTGAGTCGGCTGCACCATCGCGTGGGAAGGAGAAACAGATACCCGATAGGGCCCTCATGAGGTACCTCTACCAGCCGGGGGAACACGAAGGGGACACTCGGAAACGAGCCACCGATCCGATATGGTCAGTCAAAACTTACAACATAAATAAAGTAGACATCAAAGCCGAAGAGCCAAACTTGCACTACTTGAAAGATGGGCCAGGGAGAGGTTTCGTCAGAGAGGAATTATTAGTCATACCGTACGGCACAATGTTACCCCCCCAAGCAAAATATTTAACACTTACTGTTGAGTAATCCCAATAGTATCCTGTCACATTAAACTGTTTCCTCAAGGTCAACACGACATAGTGTCACGTGATCAGGAAAGTGCTAGTTCGCGGTCATAGTGACACAATAGTGTCACGTGTGGCCGGGAAGTTAACTGGGGATTCAAAAGTAGTATATACAATGGTGGCAAGACCTAAGGGCCTGACAAAAGCTTTATTTATGAAATTAAGCTTTACAGCGACCTTTCTTGGAATTGATCTCTGACTATCATTGTATATACTACTCTTCCCTTTCCACAAACAAAAACATTTCAAACTTCAATCACAAACAATACTTTATTGGACAAAACAGGCTATACAACCGCGATTCATGTTTTCCTCAAACTTGACTTCCAGTGTATATTTTTTTATAATAGGTTCAAATACTTCATTGATACTTAAATGTCATTTCCAATATTACGACGTTTCTTTTGCCTTTCAGTATAGTTGTGACACATTTGTATTAAATAACCTTTGCTTCCATAGTATGCATGTCAGGGCAACAGGGTAATTAGGGTTTGCTCTCTGACACAAAGGTTGCTGACAGATAACAACAAACTCCAGGATTATGGCAGTGATGTAATAGAGGTAGTACTCTTGGAATTATTAGGGCTCCGTGCCTGCAGGCAAGGAGACCTATTGCAATGAAATTACGAAATCTTGTCATTGAAACAAAAATAGTTGCTATTAATTTTGTTGGTCTTAATCCAAGAAATCACAACCAAAATCATTTGCACTATAGTTCTATGGTACTATAGTCAGCGAGAATCGGTATGAATATTTTAAGTCAAATTTACACCAGTTGAACCACCAAATTGAATACAGTGAATGGCATCCACTATCCAACTGGACTTGCTCGATATTTGTGCTGGGAGAGTGAAAGGGATTCATCATAAGCTCGGTAACAATTTAAAGATGTCATCAAGGTCCATGGTAATTAAGGTTACCAAATTTTCAATTGCTATGAAACAGTCATATACAGAAACGTAACTTCTGTTCTATGGTCCAGGAACGACTTATTTATGATTTTATCAGGCAGTTGAAAGATGTTCTTACTTCAGAACGGTGTCATCAAGGGAGTAGCAAGCTAAGACTCTATAACAAGTTCAAGTCAGTGTATGCTGCTGAAACATACCTACTGAGACAAATGCCTAAATCTTATAGATCTGCACTATCCAAGTTTCGGTGTGGCGTTGCTCCTATCAGGATTGAAACCGGGAGATATGAGAAGATTCTACGTGAAAACCGTACTTGTTTCTACGATAACCTCCCAAAACTTAGACAGCTTAAAACAACAACATTTCTGATTCAGTGCACAACTAATCCTCAAGCTGATACCTATTTCTTATGATGATCAGTCCAGTAGAATCAATTAGACAAGGCATTATGTATATTCAGCATATTTACTATAAGTTGAACAGAGATAAAAAAATAAATAGTAAATAATAAATATGGTACTATGTTGATCATGTCCATTCACTGCATGTCCACAAATGCATCTTCAGCAACAACAGTTAACACATACTTTACAGTTTCAATTGTTATATTTGTTTCATAGGTACTCCACTTAAGGTATCAAAACAGTTGACCCCCTTTCATCTTGTGAGGAGATTTTCAAATGAACGAAAATAAGGAATGAAATGAATCTATGGTCAATTCGAAAACTCACTCCAATAGGAAGAAATGTAATACTGAAATCCTTATTACTTTGAAAACTGAATCATCTCTTTTCATCTATTCCATCACCCCGCACGATTTGATTAAGTCATTCCAAAACTGAAAAGTGCTTCAGTTTTATTGAATTAAGGATATGTATAGATCATGCCTTTGATACAATTATTATAATTAGGTATAATATCTCTATTATGGCATATATACCTGTATCAATATTCATTGATATTTATACTCTCGACAACATATGGAAAATGTTGTATATACAACATGTTTAACACGAAGGGGAATTACTGCTTATATTTCCGACAATGTAGGGATAACGCTAGTATATAACATGTTTAACATGATGTTGAAATTGATGTTTATACTTTTCACAATATATGGCGAACATTGTATATATAACATGTATCATGGACATTGAAGTTTTTACCTTCAACAGTGTATCAATGTATGGAGAAAGTCATATATGAAACGTATAACATGAGGCAAAATAAAATATACCGGTAAATACAAGAAAAAGGATTAAAAAAAAACATTTTCAAATGAAAACATGTCATGCATCTTTAAACTTAATCCCCCTTGTACAGTTCATATCATTTACAATACAAGCTAGGTCTACTCAGCAGGGTACACTAATTCCATTTCAGCCATGCGTGTTGTATTAATTAATCCCCTTCATTAGTGTCTAAGTTATGGCTGTCTAAGATATGGCTGTCCAAGTTTTTGGAGATAACCTTTCCACTGTAAAGATGTTGTCAAAGATGGGGCACACAGCATTCTTCATTGTACTTTATATAATGATATCAGATCTGACCTCCTGAATATATGTTATGGTAAATTTCCTGGTTTTATTATTATTAATATGCCAGCTATAGATAAACTGGCCACCATCCTACACGTCGGTGATATTTGTTTTGTTGCAGCCAAAACCTGCCAAGGAATTATATTGAAGCGTCGTCATACGCTATATGTATAAACGTTTTATCCTTTTTACTGTATTTTAAACTGTTTTATAGTCTCCCATCACTCCTTAGAGGAGTGGTGCTGTTTTTATGCTTGTCTATACCTTTTAGGATAAGAAGTAAAAGTAGAGAGACTGAAAGAACTTTTTGTCTGTCTGTCTGTGGAAAACCTTTTATGTCATTATGGGTCATCGTTTTTACAGAATGTGCGAATGGACAAGGCAATGGGCACAATGCGTGACTCCTTGATTAAGATGGTTGCCAAGGATCTTCATCTGAAAATGCCATGGTATCACCAAAGAATATCCAGGGAAGAAGCAGAAGTAAGACTGCTTAAAGATGGACATCAGGATGGAAAATTTCTGTAAGTTAACAGTACCTTAAGCCTTGGTCAGTATCAAACCATACTGAATGAACACCTCAATGAATTGCTGCTCCTTACAATCATCACATCAAGATGTTGTTTTTGTTGTTGTTGAGACTTTTTTTTATGCCCCTGCCATATATGGCCGGGGGTATATATGGTTACCCTCCGTGTCCTTATGAAACAGGGAATGTACTCTATCCACTTCTCCACAAAAAACGCTCTGTGGAATTCAATGAACTTATACATGGGCTTTCTTGGGACTCTAATGGTGTGCATCTCATATTTTTTATTTTTATTTTATTGTTTTTTTTGTAAGTTTAGAGACATTTGAACTTAGGTACATTTTGCTGAATATTTCTATGATGATAGTGTAATAGGGGATGAAGTCTATCAACTTCTCCACAAAAAACTGCTCAACAGAATTGATTAAGCTTATACATGTGTTTCATTATACAGTTATACAGTTAACTTTTAACCTGCCATATTGAATATGTTCCAGAATATGCCAAAACTTACCACTGTAGCTTCTACAGCAATCTATTGCTTTCTCTTGCCTCCACAGTGATATTTCTATTGCTAGTTTATTTACCCTTGTACCATGAACCTTCATGATATAGGTTTAATTGTACTGTGGTAAGTTCATTGTGACATACATTTACAAATAAGTATTTACCTTGGACACTTTGGATATATTTATTTTATAATCAACCATGATATTTATTTAGTAGAAATTAATCACCAGAGCACACTCAGTGTAGGGAACTCTTCCTACAGCAGCAGGGGCATCCGTGTCCCTGGACACAATTCTTTTCTTGTTTGTAAATGTAATGTTACACTTTTCTATTCCTTAGATATATGTTATTGTGAAACTACTGATGTTGAAAATTTATACAATTAGAATTAATGTTCTGTATGTTTGACAATTTTAATATTACAGTAATTGTTGCAGATTAGGAAACAATATTAAACAGAAAATAGTGAAATATGCAATGCTGACAAAAATTAGGTTGGTACACATGCATTATACCAGATACCTGCCTGCCATATTTAATTAGGCCACGTGAATCAAGCTCGGAAAGGTGAAAAAATATAAAACTGAGATGAAAATAACCCTAACCCTAACTCCCTAACCTAACCCTAACCCCTAACCCCTAACCCCTAACTTAACCCTTACCCTAACCCTGCTAGGTATCCGGTATAATGCATTCTAGCCATTAGGTTTAATGTCTGCCTTTGTGGACTTTTTAGATGCTGTTTTCTTTACAGGTGATGGGGATACGGGACCAGTCTGTACAAAGTTATGCCATGGTTGCAGGATGATGGGGCTGATGATGATGGGGATTTTAATCCCCCAATCATCCTGCACCATGATATAAAATTGTGCGGATTGGTTCTGTACTCCCATCACTGATACTACTAATGAAGGTACAATGATCACCCACCATATTAAGGCCCCAATTTTGCCCCCACAGACCCACAAAAACAGATTAAATTTATGTGGATAACATCAAACGATGTGCCACCAAATTTATAACAGGATGCCATGTTTTTTAAGAAGGCAACCACTTTAAACAATGAGGAATGATGTTATAAAAAAACTTATATTGAGGAAGCAATCCTTTGTTAATCTCTTACTGTTCTTAAGTTTTTGTAAGGAATGCTTGATGGGCTTGTCTCCCCTGTTCTATAAACGTTTCTTCTTCATTAATGCCACTGGTCTTTCGATACTTTGTTCGAATCTCTTGTTTCATTATGTTGTATTTAGTGAGTTCCATCTACACTAAACGAAATTTTTTCCTCGGATATCTTTCCATTGGCAAGCTCTGTCGAGACATGGTCTCCAATGCTATTTAAAGGTCACATGCAACCAAACAAACAAACATAATTAAAACACAATTATCACTTATTCATGACATATAATATACATTGCTGATAATGAAAAAAATAATAAACAAAATTATAAGCGTACAATCGCAAATCAAAAGTTCAATAGTTTGTACTTGGGTTTACTTAGTTCAAAACAAAGCACCCGGGATACCGAACCCAGTCAGAGCGGGTGGGTGTGCACTCAAGTGTAATGAAGTCTTTCATTGGCTGGTTCATTTGCCTATACACACAGGGCTTTTTGTGTGTGTATAGAGATGTTGGGGGGCGGTGGGGTAGCCTAGTGGTTAAAGCGTTGGCTCGTCACGCCGAAGGCCCGGGTTCGATTCCCCACATGGGCACAATGTGTTAAGCCCATTTCTGGTGTCCCTCACTGTGATATTGCTGGAATATTGCTAAAAGCGGAGTAAAACTAAACTCAGTCAGTCAGTCAGTCAGAGATGTTGGGTTTTATAAATACATGCTCATTTTTTGTGTATAACATTTTGCAATCAACAGACATTATAACATGTTGTGTACAAGTATCACACCTGCCTGTCTGTGTAAGTACATAATGTGACAGAGACAGAACTCGGGTGCACGAGCCATAAATCAATGTATAGCCTGATAGGTGTTAAGTTCAAATTACATGTGGTCAGTGATCGAAGTTGTGTATTGCATATTGTCATTAGCAGACAGGCAGGCAGACACATAGGTGTCAATAAAACAGACATTGAGTTTTGTCTGTGACAGAGGCATATCTATATCACAGTTAGAAATTCTGACAATGCTAAACAATGACGTTGCTTTTAACAAAGTGACACGGTAAGAAGAACGTGTGGTGAAATAGTCAAATGAAAGTATATAAAAAGTTTATTCGGTAATCTACTGTCATAACATATAAAAAGCTTGTGCCTGTGAAATATCAACAAAACAATTAGAAAAATGCTCACATCAAAGTCTACTCCGAGTTCTCACTGCCAGCGAAGATTTTCCGTCTTGAAATGTTGAACGCCTCACTGGTTGACACATAGCTGAGTAGATCTAGATCCTTAACAAGATTCTTTTATGCAATGAGTAGATTATTTACTACATGTATTTGTTGTTTGTGTACACAACCAAGATTAGACTACTCCTGCTCACCACCTTATAAGTCGGGCATCCTGCTTCAAGCTGTGTGAACCTATTCACTGCGCATGCTCTATGAGCTATGAGCGCAGGGCAGCACAGCTGTTGAAACCACTTTTCACTCCATTGAATTTGCATTTTTGATAATTTGTTACTCTAAGTCCATACCGAAAGGTATCAGAATCTGCAGAGTTGTGTTTTACGTTGCATGTGACCTTTAACTTTGCTTCGGATAGAACACGAATGCCATCATGTTTTAATGCTTTCTTTCGCATCCAGCAAGAAAGTAACTTATGAGCTATTCCTACCATTCCAGATATTCCTGTCAGTCTTTCGTTACTGAGTACGATAGGTGCAGCGATTATCATTGATAATAGACCAATACTGGTGCAGCAATTATCATTGATAATAGACCAATACTGGCTGCACCAAGTCCCTTTTGTTACTATAAGCATATGATCAACACCGTGAACAGCACTGACAGCTCTATGATGCTTTGTAAAATAATCAGAGTCTTGAATCACGCTCCTTCTCTAGTTGGTGTATTATTTCACATATTTGGTGTAAAAGTATTCCATTGCCACTTTCTAACTTTCCAGATACTTCATCCATTGGGTATTATCACGTGTTATAATATATTTTATGTTAGAGTGTTTAAATGGCTCTCCGTCAATCTTTTGAGAGAATACTTCAAGCTTATTAAATCTTAGTGAATGAAATGCCATCAAAGCCTTATCCCCGTTAAAAGTGGACATTTGGGTTCGCTCCCAAGTTACTTAACATATCTATGAATTCAGCAACCAAATTTAAGCTAGCTTGCTAGCATATGGTCTGGTTTATCCGGTATTTGGGAAATTGACACACTATCTCTTTTTGATGGGTTATAAGCCCCGAGTATAAACCAGGCCACTATTTATTATCCCTCGCAACAACGAAGTCAACCATGATCCCTTGATGTGCCTTTTGGGGGTTAGACCCAGATAGGAAATTTATTTTTTGCTGTTTTCAAGGAAACATGACTTAGGCTGTGACTATGAGGATGTCATCTTGTCCGGAGCAGATCTCCCGAACTATACATGCTAGCTTTATCAAACTTGGTACATATGTCAAGCATGATCCATAGATGTGCCTTTTAAGGGGTTACACCAGTGTGTAAGTTATATTTTTTGTGGTTTCCATGGAAACGTGACTTGAACTGTGACTCTATGAAGAAGTCATTTTGTCCGGAGGTCATGATATCTATTTTAAGTATTGATAGAAACTGAAGTATATTTACCACCGTACAATGAATTGCTAAGGATGAGCATTTACATCTAAAAATTATAAACTTTGACAAGAATTTGGAAAAAATCGAAACTTTGAAGTAGGGCTGTGCAATATTACCGGTATATACCGGTACATTATCTCGCGATATGATTATCGTGATATGGTTCAGATTCTGCAATATATTCGGTCTTTCAGAGTTACCTCCCTTTGAATTATCTGCCCTTGATTTCCACAAAATGTGCTCTAAAGGTGCCAAATATACTTTTATTTCTGTTGGTTTCATGTAACATATTACAAGTGAAAGCATCTCTACACGTGGCTCAAAAAGTGCCAAATATTCTACCAAATGCTTTAAGTTTTGTGGGTTTGAATGGTTTCATATGTGACATTTTGGAGGAATTAGGTGAGGTGAAATTAGGTTTAACGTCGTGTTTGAGAATATTTCGCTCATATGACGACGTGCATGTGTGTGTATGTGTATGTGAGGCTGCTTGTACTAGCCCAGACTTGAACTGGTTTTATAGTGCTAGCCCACTGAGATACCATGCTGCAGTGAAGCATGAATACCCCACTCGGACACATTATACTGACTCTAAGCCGACCAGTCCTTGTTGTACCCATTAATGCTGAGCGCCAGACAGGGACCAACAAGTACCATATTTTAACGTCTTTTGGTATGACGCGGTCGGGGATCGAATCCACGACCTGCCGCTCTCCGGGCGGACGCTCTAACCACTACA